TAACTCTAAACAGGTGTACAAGAGCAGTGTGAATTTGTATGGCCACATTAAAAACCCGAATTTACGACATTTCTGTATAAATTATATGTTATATCGCATAATATATTTATCACTGACAATAATCATCAGTTTGTTTTAAAGTTTGTTATATTGATTAACATTATTGTTTGAATACATTTATTCAAAACATTTTAAATGCGCACAGTAGAAAAATATGACATACTACATAAAAAATATACGTATAACTATAAATAGTAACGATAATGATAAACAGAAATATAATTTTAAATAGTATTCATACGCTATTGAAGAAGACTTGCTATATACTCCGATTCTTTTGTAACGAATGCAAACAAAGCATATTAGTATGTTATTATATACTGTATAAAACATAAGCGCCAAAATAACATAAAAACAAAAAAGTCGTATCGTACGAAAGCACCAAAATCCTAGGTAACTTATATCCTGCACATTTTGACGTAAATGATGTGTAATTTTTGTATCTTTGGCGCTTATGTCATACAGTCGTAATATTGCACTACCGCACTATTGTCAGTATAATAAATAATAAGGTTTTATTGTTAATAAGTATATTAATATATTAATATACTAGTAAAAAAGAGTGATATTTGAAATAAATTGGTATCCATAAGTCATATTTTTCTAATGAGAATTTTTACTATTTTTTATAGATTTTATTTATTATTATTATTATTTTTAAATAATATTGTCAAAATTGTATAACTTTAAATTTTATTTTCTGAATAATCACCGATTTTATTTCGTACCCATATTGCATTGGTATATATAATGCGAATAATATTAATCTGTCATTATATTAAGGTAACTGAAGTTTGCCAAACACTCTACGATTTTCAGAAACCTGCATTTCGATCTTAAGTTATCAAATGCGCCTATACGTCACTCGCGTGAGTCTACAATTTTATTCTTTATTCGTACTATCGCATTTACAATCCGTTCGCTGTTATCCACCATCCAGGACTAGAGATACTTGTTGAGTCAAAAACGGTAGCCATCTACTATCGAGGATGTATTACGAAGAATATACGACGACGCGATACAAGTATAAATATGCTGTATAAGCGTAAAATAATCTATACAGACTCGTCGTAGTCCGATATTCTCTCATTAAACCACTTTAGAAGGTAATCTCGCGCGTGTGCTTGTGTGCGTGTGTGTGTTTAAGTAAATTATTACAATTTATATATATATAGGTAGCTTCTATGATAATATGGCGTGTGTGCAGTTGCGGCGACAATGATGTTATCTGTGAACGTGTCGTCGTGCTAACCCGTCGTCGCCACTGACTTTAGAGCGGTTTTCCGAATGTCGCGGGTGGGATATTATGCATTAGTATATATATTTATGAACGTATATAAATATATTTCCATGTATAGTGTGTCTTCAGTGAGAAGTAACTTACCACTTGTGAGTATGTATGTGTAAGTCTGTGTGTATGTCAGCACACTTTTACATTATAACGCGTGTCTCATATAAACCTTACGACAACGGCGACCATGCCCTTCTACCCGCTGACCTGCAGAAATGCTACTCATTTTATACATATATTTATACGGATCCGAAACGATTGCGAGCTATGTACATATTATAGTTTCCTCGCCGTGTATCGACGACGCGTATTATTGTTATTATACATATATGCGTGAATATCGTGGTATTATACATATATATCTAGGTTTTCGCGAATATCGTATATTGTCACGTCTCGTTCGAATAATTAAAATTTACATCACCATTTCTCGCGGTATCAAGGACCAGCAAAATGTTGTAATCATAATATTTTAATGAAAGAATTTATTTTCATTTTTAATTAATCACGCGCTTGTCTCAAGGCCAAAGACCACTGTGGGACGTAGTCGTAGCGCTCACCAGTGGCGGCGGGATACAGGATTATTTGAAGCAATTGCTTCATGTCTGAAATGGGTGGGTGGGTGGGTATCCGGGTCCGGGTGGGTGTATAATTGTATGATCTCAACATAAATATCATGTCAAATATTATAATAATTAGTATAATATAATATGGAGTATGCTTGTATACTACGAAGTCACTGTATCCACTATCGACATGCGTCAATGCGTGTGTTGTCGTAGTTATTTTAGTTCTGTTTTATCTAATCCAATAACAATTATTATAAGAATTAAGAATAGAAACTCAGCACTATAACATTTATTATACATGTTTAGTAATATAGTAATATGCTCCGCATATTTTCTTATTTATATAAAAATTACGGAAATCCCAATATCTTACATCGATTGTGCCTGCGACCCTCACCGTCCCACCATTACTATAACAAAAATGGTATGGTTGAACATTGATTATACACACTCTAACACAGTTACAGTTTATAATAATTAATTATCTTATTACTTATTATTTCTAAAACGTATTGGATTAATCGATAATCATAATTCATAACGTTTTGTTCTGTACTTGACGATGTTGGCTCAGAGCTTTTTTTAAATATTATTCTGTGATTTTGTGCAGACGTGCAGTTAATAAGTATTTTAAATTTTATATATTTCTTATAATTTATAAAATTCTTACAAAATATCAATTTTTTTTTTTAAATATGAAACCTGTATTGTGTGATTATTGTAAACGTGAACGTGTTAAACAAAATGATACCAACTGGAATCGACATATTGAATCATGTAAAAAAAAAACACAAATATGCAATAAAAGACAGAAAGGAAATTTGGATAGATTTTTTAATAAAAAACCAAAGAGTTGTATTGGTTTGTAAACAAAAGTTTCTAAAATGTTTAATATACCTACCTTCTTTATTTTAATTATTATGATTTTTTAACTATTTAAGTTGATCAACAATGTAATACTTCAAACGCTACAACATCTTTTACTTCAATTAATAATGCACCAGGTATATTTTTGTTTTATTTACAAAATTTAAAAAATATATAGGTATTTAATAGAAAAATATTTTAATTTAATTAGAATTTAACTAATTTTTAAGTTTAGATTAAGTATAAATTAAATGGTATATATATTCATATATTAATGTAAATCAACCTATAATTAATGGCAAAGTTGTGAAAAACTGAAAAATAATTATAAGACGCATTTCAAATACTATATAAATAAGAGCAGTG